CCCTCACTTTCTCTGTATGTATGCGTTTGTGCGTATATGTTTCTACGCCAGTGTACGTGTCTCGATTTTATTAACACATCTATGTATTTGACCTGCCTTTCAGGATGAAGTTTGGTTTCTTTGCGGAGTACCATAAGCGCGGCCTGGCTCCAAAAGACTACTGCAGTCCTGGCGGCCGCGGCTTCATCAGCCCCAGCGTTACCATAGAAACACAACTATCCGTCTGCGCTTTGGACGACGACGGACCCTACGCCAACATTGTCTCCCCTCACCTCATGTACAACGATCCACGCTACGGGCGACCCGAGATACAAGAACCCGTTTCCAGCCAATCAGAGCAACGCCAGCGACAAGGAAACCATTTGTATGACAAGGTCCCCGCGTCGTCATCATCATCATCCCGGCCGCCATTGCAGTATCAACAAGAGCTTCTGCTAGCTCCTACGAGACTCACAGACGATGACAGTGGGTTATCCTCTCCTGTCTTCGTCACAGACTTGTCTTCCAGCAGCGACTACTACTCTAGTCTTTCCCTTCCTATTGAATCCGAAGGTAGCAAATCGCTAGGAACCGCCGGGAAAGGTCCAAGAACATCGGTCTACTCCGGTTGTGACTCAGAGGACGAGAACATCTCTTGCTACGTAGAGATACACAAGGGAAAAGGCCTAGAAGGCAGTACTAGCAGCAGTAGTCGGAGAGCTATCGAGCCACATATCAATACAAGAGACAATAGACCCTCCTCGTCTTCCCAAAAGCGGAAGGGCAACATGAGACGTATGGTGCAGAGGTGCAAGAAAGCTGGCGCCTCTCTTGTGCACGGAGTCGTCTGGAACAGGTCGTCGGGGTCTTCGTCTGTCGCCAGTGACGTAGGAGCAGAACCTCCGGCGTTGCGTTCCAATAGCTCCAACTGGTCTCTCCGGAAACCGAAACCGTTTGTTCCATACCCGAGATCGTCGCAAGCAAGGCCGTGCAGTGTTCAAGTGACGACTCCGGAATTTCCTCAGTTAAGTGACGCTTCCTACTCAACGATGAGCCAAAAGTCGGATGATGAGCCTGCCGATATGTTAACAAGAAACGGCGACGTGGGTCGAGGAGATGAACCTTCGATACAAACCATAGAACCCAGTGCCAACTCTTCCAGCGAGGATAAGGTCCTCAGTAAATTGAGAAATTTCGGCAAATTTGTGGGCCATAGACCAAGTTTCAAGAGGAAAAGAAAAAATAAAGACTCCAAAGTACCAACATCTTCACTGCCGCCTGAACCAATGACTCCCTCGGCGACAAAGGGAGGGGAGAACTCAAACCATCCGGATTTTACTTTTGTTAACGAAGGCCTGGACAAGACAACAGATCCCGATTCCAAAGTACGGAAGTCTCATTTTAGGAAAATGAAAATGCCAAATGTGTTGAAAAGACTTGGCAAAACTTAAAATTGCCTGTATCAACTGGAAAGTGAAAACATCGTTCCTGGAATGAGTTTATCAAATCGTGCCTTTGAGCGTTTCAGGACAAACAACCTCAAGCTGGTACTCTCCATGTGTTGTTTGCGATCTGACGCAATTAGTCTTTGATGGTCTTATTTGAGCCCCCGGCGACACAGTTAAGGTCTTGAGGAGACGAGCTGGCTCGGCGTGTCTGCCAAGAACAAACCCGGGAGTCGGCGGTTTAGTGTTTAAGCCCTTGACCGTTCGCCGAGACAGAATGTAGAAAGAACAATCAACCAGTGAGCAACACACACACACACACACACTCACAC